TGGTTGGTAGGTCCTGAGCCCTAAGTAGACTTGTGTATAGTTGTGCTCTGGACACCTGGCAAAAAGCGACCCCCAACACAAAAGCCATGACTATCATGCTGTTCTACGGTCAACAGTAGTACATTGAGTGACATTGGTCCAGCTCAAACTTATTTGGGCATGTTGGTCCAGCTGATCTCTCACCGATGGGGTTGCTTTAGCTGTCACACCTATAGAAGCATTTTCCAAGATAACAAACATCAACGCGGTCAAATATTCCCAAGGGAGAGATATTGCATGCAATTATCCAAGAATTGGTTTTCAAGGAACATCAAGAAAACCATCTACAGGAAACCAGCGTTTTTTGCTCGCAAACGCGGTTTCCTGGTGTTTGGCAGGGCAGGCTGCTTGCCTTCACGCTCAGCCGACTTCGGAAAGCTGCAGCGAACATGGGTTTCCATGATCCAAACAGAGAACAGGTACCTGGAGTCTCGAAGTACCACAGAAAACGGGTACGACGTCGTACCTTTTGATAGGGTCAGGTCATGTCCCATTAAACAACAAATGCTTTGGCCATGGAGGGTCCTGGTACTTGTACCACAAATGAACTGAGACTCCAGGTAGATGCCTTCATTCAAGTTTGGACACCCACCTGCAAAGATGACTGCTCACTTCTTTTACAGGCGTCAGACTATTTTTGTTTGACTCGTGTAGATTCATGGCCCATGGCCCATACCACCGTGGCGGTTCCAAGACATCTCGAGGCGCCTCGACACTTCGCTCATGCGTTTGGATTTCATGGCCCTTTGGGGTCCAGGACCTCAGGACTCTGAATCGGATGGATGTCCTCTCCATGGCCGATGGCCTTTGAAAGACCCATCCGAAGGAAGCCAAGACCATTCGACGAAGACCTCCGTGAAAGACCATCCGAAGAGGAGGTACCCCCTGGACCCTATGACCCCATACGTTGCAAGCCTGCGGCTCGGGAGCAGAGCGACTCGGGAGTATTTGTCATGGGGAGCTGATCACCGGTGTCATGGGAGTTCCCCCAACTCCGACAGCTGGTGTATATGCCGGGAGTCTCAAGGTACCTGGGAAAATGGGTACATGTCGTACTTTGGAGGGTCTGTTCGTGCATCCAAATGCTCACTGTTGATCTTGACATGACTTTCAGAGCTGAGACATGAGCTTAGTCAGCCGTTCTCTTTCTGCCAGTCCCATCCGTTTGGGGTCATCCATTGCAGCAGGCTCAGGCGAAGGTAATTAGCATAATCCTGGTCAGCTATGGATGTCGATGGACCCTCCAACATGGACATCACGTGAGAAAAGATCACAGGTCCTTGATTGTAACTTGTACGTACTGGTAGGTGTGTTCTGTGGATGGAGGTTTGGGTTTTATCCGTTCACTGGATGGAACGAGACACACCACCCAGGCCTCCATGTGACTCCTGGTGATGACGTTTCTCCATGCAATCCTTCAGGCCAACTACCCTGAGACACCATGGATGTGGCGGCGCTCTCAGCCCGGAGTTCGGGTGAGGAGTTGCTAAAGAGCAGCTCAGAGGCTTCCAGCGTTTCGCCACCGGGCACCCCGTACCGGGTCTCGTGCACACCTGATTTTGGCCACTCTGACATGGGACGGAGGTGGGTAGGAGGTGTGCAGTTGGCATGATATTGGCTGTCGTTGTCTCGAGTGCACTACAATGCAATGCAGTCAGCCGTTGAGATAGTTCTTTTCTTCGGAACGTCGGACATGTTTTTGCATTTTTTTGTAACTGGTCAACAGCTGCTGTGGCTTAACAATGTTTCGTGCCTAATGACTAACAGTGACCAACATCAACCAATTCCAGCAGCACCTAAGGGTGGTTATTGAAGGGAACATATATATATATATACACATAGTTAGGGGATGTCAGGGTGTTTATAAGCCACCCTTTCCGTGGTGCTGGTTGATATCATGGATATCCTAAACCACGGAATTGTTTGCCCCCAAAGTCACAGCTCCCGTAGCTCAAGAATAGAAAAACACATCAACCGATGGCCTGGATTTGATGGGCCACCGGATCGTTTTGGTTCGTCGCTCTTTGAGAATGAGCATCGGAGAGGGAGAGGGAGAACCAGTATACTGGTCTTCGAGCCTTCTGTAGGTCATAAACTCCAGCTTTGGGGTGGGTCACCCGTTCCTATGAGTTGGGTGCTGGAGGGAGGATAGTACCCATCATCCACTCACGTAGGGTCTAAATACCACCCCGACATAGAACAGCTGGTGCATATCAGTCACTTTTTTGGGGGGCTAGGTTACCGTCCGGTCAGCCTGTTGGGTTTTTGCTCACAATCAGCTTTGGACAGAAAAGAAACTCCATTCTTGTCATCTGAGTTTCACTCCAAAAGGCTACCAGACAAAGCAACGCAGTGAACAGTGAACCGCAGCCGCGTTTCCGCCAGGCGTTGCTACAGCGGGATCTTGGGATCTTGTGCCCTAGGATGTGTCTTGGAATAGATGGAAGGAGGAGAAGAAGAAGGAGGAGGAGGAGGGAGGAGGAGGAGAGATCTCCAGCGAGTTTGCCGCCGTTTTCCAGTACCTTCTCTTACTCAATGACCTTTCCGGGGAAGAGTGAACACAGTAGCCAGAACTCATCAATTCGCCTTGTTCTGTACTTCATTGCTGTGTTGGAGCTCCTAGCAACTGAATAAAGGACAAAGAACTCAATGGTTGTAGTTGTAGTGCAACACCCAACTATGTGAGATCACAAAGAACACTCGTGACGAACGTGTGAAAAAAGTTAGTCTAGGGATGTCTAGGGTTTCTAAAGACATACACGTAACTTGCATGTGCCACTTTGCTTGTTTGTTGTGGGGGTGTGCTAAATGATGCTAAATCAAGTACATGTTAGTAACTGTTAGTACCAATTGTTTTGTTTGGCTCGATGACATTCAGGAGGTGGTTTCCCTGTCCTCAAGTCTCACTTGCCACATCACACTCCCCGTACCATCGTGCTGCCATCTCCGCCCTCGGGACTGGTCGGAAGACTGAGGCATTTTCTTTTTCTTTTGGATCAAGCATGAGGGCTCAGTTCGCGAACGTGGAGGGTTTTGCTTCGCCAACTTTGGGTTGGCCATTCGAAGGTGTTTCCCCGGTGGCGTTTCGCTGGCGATCCATAGACTGATGAATACAAGAACCGCATGGAGGTTTTAGTTTCCATTCTCGAAGGTTTCTCTACAGTCTAGGCGTGTTTGGGGTCGTTGGGCTGGGATTGGCCATCGCAGCTCACCGCAATCACCCTGCAAGGATCGTACTTTGTAGTTGGCGAGGGAGAAGATTGTGTGATATATGGATACGTATATATATATACATATATGATATTATACCAGCACTACCCAAAGGGATGGAACATACATGATCAGGTGGGGTCTATAAACCACCCTTTGGGTGCTGCTAGCTGCTAGTATATGTGTTTTGTTGGCTCCAGAAAATTCCAACAAATAGGGACATCATCAAGGAGGAAGGCCTTTACCGATGAAGCCTCCAGTGCCAAGACTTCCAGGCATAGTTGATGATGTTGCGGGACGGTACGACTCTTGCCCAAAGTCAAAAGTTAACCCCAGACACTCCATGGGACTGCCATATATGCCCACATTGACCCCCAGTCAACCACCCCTGGCCTGATCGGCATATATGGCAGTCCCATGGACGTCGTGTCTGGGAACCCCAAGGAAGGCCAGGAATGACCAGATGTAAAGTACGAAGATTCCTGGAGCGAAGTCATGCGAGCTTGCGAGCTGGATCTGAGGGTACTTCTTGTGAATGTGGGGTCACTTTGTTTGAAGGATGTCCACACTGGAACAATGTGCCCTTCAATGTTCCTTCCATGTATCAGGAGGTAATGACCCCTAAGATAAGCCGTGTTTACTTCCATTAGATTCTGCCGGATATGTGTTTGTTCAATTGAGTGGGTTGACAGGATGTGCGATATTTGGTGTTATCAAACTGGCAACACCACTCAAAAGGGAGGTGGGAGGTCCAGCGGAAATAAGCACAACATTGACAGATGTTGATCACGTGCGAGTAGATGATACCACTGGAAAGATCAACATGGACCCTAAAAATGAACCATTGGAAGTGCTTTTCAGGTTGCAATGTGAATCTTCCGGTGAGTAATCTCTAGTAAAGGCTCGATGCTTTTTCTCCGTTCTTCTTCAACGACTTGCTGGCCTTTCGGACTCAATGATGCAACATCGATGGACTCGGTTGCAGTAGAATCAGGGTCCACCCGGTCCAGAAGACCTCGATGCTTCACCCTGCAGGTCCGATCTGTCGGTCAAAAGTTAACTCCAGACACGACCTGTTTGGGACTGCCATAGGACTGCCGCCCCATTGACCCCCAGTCAACCACCCCTGGCCTGATCGGCATATATGCGATATATGGCAGTCCCATGGAGTGTTTGGGTCCTAGTCCTCAAAACCTCATGTTCGTCATGGTTTTGCATGACCAACTCTCGTAAAAGGGCCGGTCAGTTCACTGACAGCTAGGGAACCGTTCTTCGGGTCAGTTCGGGGACGCCATGGAAGTCACGCCACGTGGAAGAAAACGCAGACGGTTCTACCTCCTTTCGAGATGTTGAGTGACCCCTGGTGTTGAGCCATTTGGCCTGTCCTTTCTTCGTGGTTGCTCTTCTGCAGCGTTTCACGGATGGCAAGCCGCGGCCAACAAGGCTGCACGGGCGGCACCAGGCGTCAGAAGCGCGTTAAGTTTACAGAGGAACCATGTAACACCAGGCACCTGCCCACGAGTTCTTTCACCTGCAACAACTCACTAGGCACCTGCGGATAGAAGAAGGAGTCTTTGAGCTATTCCACAGGCACCTGGTTCAGATGTCTTTGTCTGCCAGTAGGTCCCTGGAATGTTGTTTCTTCCTTCCCCCTTTAAATTCTCATGGCAGGAACACGAGGTTCTGTGATGGTTCTTAGCCTTTTTGGTCCCTGAGCTCTCACCAAAACCAATCTAATTAGGACCGTCCCTGCTTTTCCTAAACGGTGACACAAAAACACAGCCCAGCTGAGCGACGCGCGCGTTTCTTCGACGCGCGCCGGGCATGGGCTGCGGGAGCTCCACAACGAAAGAGGACAGCTGGGGAAGATCAGGACGCGGGTGTTGAGCTCAAGAGAAGGAGTTTGAAGGACTCCTGCACAAGGATTGTGTTACCCAGAGGCGATGATGGACCGGCATATTTGCCATGGTTGCCTTACATTGGGGGTGGTTGACTTGGGGTCAATGTAGGCATAGATTCCAGTCCCATGGAGTGTTCGGGTTAAAGACACCACGTTTCTATTTTTTGTTGCATAGTCTGACTGTTGTTTGTACCATGGATTTATGTAACTTGAATGTGGTGAAAATGACTATCACTTCTGGACGGATTTGATCATGGTAAATCCTATCCCAGGCACTCCATTGAACTGCCACAGTTTGCCAATCAGTGCGTCTGGGATATGAGATCACTACCATTTTCGGGTGGCTGTTCGACCTGAACAGGTTTCGCACTTGTCAGGCGCTTTCGCTGGTCACTCGACTGGAAGGTTCAGGTATTTGGAATGGGGAGACCCCCTGGCTGGGCAGATTGGTCCTATTTTTTCCGAACCTTCTTCCTAAAGGGGGGGCGTTGCCTGGAGGGTCTCCCTATGTCTCCCTAGGTCTCCCACCCATTTGATTCTGTAACCCATAGGGTCAAGGTACCTCCTGAGGATGGTCTTGGAGGTGAGTACGTACTTCCAGAGAATGGTCGAACGGGGGGTCAAAGGACATCCGAATCGGATGGTCCTGGACCCTTAGGGTAAAGCAAGAACAAACACATCAAACGCCTCGAGATCCCACGGCCCCTGATCCCATCCACCGGGAGAGCGTGTCTTTTCTCGACGAAGAGGCCACTCTCACCACGGACGGCGTGCTTCCTGAGGCGACTGGGCGGTGTGGGTGATGGATGATCCAAGAACCAGCATGAAGCAGCTCACTGATTCATTCATGAACTAAAGAGTCCACCAGATGCATCAGGTTCATCTATATATGGGTTGGATAGTCTATTCATATCTATTCATCGTAGGTCGACATTCCAGCTTGAAGCGAACACGAAAAGGGTTGGTGTTCGACAGGCAGCTGAGACTGCTGAGCCAGCAGCTGGCGCTTCTGAGGCAGCTGAGGCATGTTTCACACCGAGCGCCTTTTTTGCGGATGCTGTTGGCCCCATTGTGCGCCGGAGCGCGAACGTCTCGTGCGCGGCGTTTCTTTGTTTGAAGAGCTCCAATGTTGCGCCCTTCCCAGAACTGGGACTTCTGACGCACACTGGGATTGTCCCAGTCGGTCAAAGTATGCGCAACATTGCGCAACACCCTGCTCTAAACTCCTAAACTCATGGTTTTTCCCCCCGTTCTTGGTCCATTCAAAGCTCCTTTCGGAAAGACCTCTCTGCTTCTTGGTGTCAGACGGCCTCCGGGTGGTCTACGTCCGAACCGCTGAACGAGGTGCTGAGTCAGCTGTGGTGTTAACGCACAGCTGACTCCGCGCCGAGCGCCAAGGGGTGGAGTCCGAAAAAGAAGACGTTTGTGTTCAACCAAGACGCTCCTGGACCCTCATATGGGGTCGGACCCTCATATGGAGGGGTCTGGACCCTCAAATCCCTATGGTTTTGAGGGACCAAGGGCTGTTTGGAGCGTCTGGGAACATGGGAAAAACACTGGCGTTCACTCATTCTTTGTCTTCAACTCACTCAAGGCTTATATAAGCTGACTCACCAGGTGAGCATGTCTCAGGCTTAAGCCACTTAGGCTTTATCCAGCTCCAGCAAACATACATACACATACAATAACATACATTTTTGCCATCAGCGTTCATTGATGTAACGTTCCTGCATTGTACTCCAGGAGTTTCAAATTAGCTGTGTTTTTTTTTTGTTTTTTTTAATAGGGTCATGTGCCATCGTCTAGGGTACTTGAAGTCAGGTAAAGTAGATGCAATTCTAGTATCAAATTGCAATGTTGTGACACACACATATATGATATTTATGGTGAACATCGCTGCGCATATTTTTGGACCGAGTATGAAAAAAGGGGTAAACAACCAACCATTGTAGCGGGGCCTATGTCTTTTTCGGGCTTTGTCCCTGCATTAACAAGCGCATCGCCATGAGTAACAAGGGCATTACTAGTAAAGTAGCAACTAGCTACCACTAGCGACGCCCTTGTTACTAGTAGCAACTAGCTACTATAGAGCGGGTAGAATTCGTGTACGGAATTTCCGTGCAGACGCCCAAAGGCCGCAGTGGAAGTTCACGCGATGCAATCTGAAGCTGTGGCATCGCAGGAGAGAGAGACTCTACCGCTGGCGGTCAAGTGAGGTCCGTGTTGGGCTCCCTACATGGGGGATCCACATACTATAGGGTGGACCTGGAGAGGCTAGCAGTGCTAGGTTCCAACTGGTTGGATCCATAAGGGACACTTAGCGATCTGAAATATATAGATGATTTGTACACAAAGATGAATGTTTAAGCGATCTGATCAACCTATATACTAACTAACTAAATCCAGCGTTTGGGGGCTGCGCCATCTACCTTTGTAGCTAGCATAGGCTCGTGGTGGAGGCGCAACAATTTTTCGACGCTTCTTGATGCCAATTCCTACTGCTTTTTGGAGGAAACTGAATGATGAATGCCCAAATCGAATTCGGTGCATCGGGAGGATCGGTGACACCTTGTTCCTTCCTCCACCCTGTTTCGATCGGTCGGACCGGTGAACTGTCCACCGGTGGCTTTCCGCAGGAGCGGGTGGAGGAACCCCTTCACCCTTGTGCGGTTCCAGAGGCGCGAGGTCAAACCTCGAGGGAGGTGTCCGAGAGTTTCATCGCCCGTGGTCTCAGGGGAACCGTTGCAGATCGACCATGGGATCAGGGGATTTGGATGGATTTGGAGCATCGTTTGCTCCCCATCCCAGCGTCCATGGCATCGATGGCATAGGCCGATCGGGTGGACCAGGGGTCAATGGCATCTATGGCAGTCCCATGGAGTGCGATCCCGCGCCATGGGAAACCCCATGAAAGCGTTGCAGGGGGCAGGTGTCTCCAGGTCCACCCTTTTTTATGTGGGTTCTGGTGCCTGACTGAGTGACCTGCCTTGAAGCTGAGTGACCTGTTGGACCACCAGCCTCCCAGCACAGTCATGTATTTGGGCGTACTACGGTGCACATCAAACTGAGCACCCCAACCCCTCCTAAGTACCCAAAAGTGGGAGAACACGACCCGAACCCAAACGGCACCGTTTTTTGTCCAAGCTACGAACTGAGACTCCAGGTAGAACTGCAGGTATGCCACACCCAAACAATCAGACCACTCCGGCCCACGCATGTCCAGAGCATGCAAAAGGTATCAAAAGGTCCATGGACTGGTCCAGAGCATGGTTTGCGCCTCTTTTTTACGTGGGCTTTTGCTGTGGACCCAGAACAAAAAAACAACAGAAACAACACAACTACGTACGGAAAAAACATGTGTCGGATGCGTCCGCAGGGCAGCCGGCAGGCTTCTCCCGTGCAACGGCCCGTGTGTGTGTGTGTGTGTGTGTCTATTGGTCCAACACCTCCGTCCTGCGCGTTGCTCGGACTCCATCCGTTTGGGACGTGCAGGCTTGTGGTTTGGCTTGTGTTGGGAGGTCGAGCTAGTCGGATGTCTTGGGCAGTGGTTCTGAAAAAATGACTTAAACAATCGTGAAGTGACCCCCAAAAGTACAACACAAGCAAACACAAATTGGATCTTGTGGTACGACCCCACAAACGGAGGCCCAATGAGAGTCCCGAGTCTTTCGCAGGAAGCTTCCCCTCGGCCGCCACAAGAGGCGCAGACGAGTGACGCTGGAGGGTTGTGTCGTGGTCGGACATGGAACCAGATCCAAGGTCACAGTGATGCTGTTGGTCTTCCCGGAGCTCAGCCATTTTACGTATACAGTATACCTAGGACCTAGACCCTCCCGAGATCTCCCGAGGCAATAGTTGTTTGATAAGATATAATAACCAAAGTTAAGTAATGAAAAAGAAATCAAGAGGAAGGAATTCAACAGGTAATCAATCGAATCAAAAGGAAATTTTGAAATGGGCTAACCCATTTCTAGTGTACTGGGCTAACCCAAACTGATTAAAGAAATAGAGAGGACGTCAAGAGAAATCAAAAGGAATTTAAATGGACATCAATTGGAATCAAAGCGAATGTAAAACGCACATCAAAAGGATTGGTGCTACAAACCTGCTGTCTTTAAGAGCTGTTAACAACATATACATACTAGTACATTGAAAGGGGCTAAAAACCTGAATGTTGTAGCAATTCTGTACCGAAAACAAAAAGACACGATTTGTTCGGGGAGTTTGGTTTCATATTGAAATTGTTTGTTGGTTTGTTTGTATACTGCCTTTATGTTTGAACCAAAAGAAGCACAAGATAATATTGTCTTGGCAATCTTAGACTAAAAACAAAGCCAAATCCAAACAACACAAAACTAAAACCAATGCTACACATAGGAGTTGTTTGCAAACTTTGACTATATATATAAATGTATATGTTATTGAACAAAGAAACAGAAGGGATTTTTTGGAACACACATGTGTAGTCGTCAGCTAATGAGGAGCACTGATTTCTGATAGGGTCAAAACATAGATTTTGGTATGGGGAGGCCCACAGAAAACAGCTGTAGGTAGATGATGGTGTGTGTGTCCATATATGTATATACATATACAGATCGAGTTGTCCCATTACCCGTAGTTGTTGGTTACATAATATCACTATTTTTGAGAAAGGCAATGACTAACCATTACCCACTGTTGCTGGTAATGGGATATGCCCGAGTTAAATACAACACTACCCCAACACTTTGGAAGAGATATTAGTACAGTATATGGTATATACTGATATATACCTCCAATGATGATGGACTGTGCAGAGTCATATCAGAGTCGGTTGCCAACCCCATGGAGTAGATGACAATACCCAAACACTCCATGTTACTTCATAGCTGTATCTCCCTGAAGTCGACCCGTTTGTAGCTCGGCTCGGAACATGGGACATGGGTGAATGCAAGCACCTGTTTTGCGCAGTCATTCATGTCCCATGTTCAGTACGAAGGAAGCCGGGTCCAGGTCAAAACGAACGCTCTCACCGTGTCAAAGCTCTGAATTTCTGCTTCCACATGGTGCGGTGGACTCCCACCTTTGGGTCAATCGTTTGAAGTCTTGGGCTTTACAACCTTGAGCAAATCGGTGAAAGATGACAGACCTGCGGTTCAGGCCAGCTAACCCCACACACACAAGCAGAAAACAAGCACCTTGATCCAAACCCCTAACAGGACTGCAAACCAGCTAAACCAAAAGTGCTAGAATTGTTACACCGTCTTCCAAAATGTACTTTTTTGAAACATACATACTCCAAAAAACAGTTATTACTTCTTTAAATAAAAGTTTCATTTTTACTAAATACATGCTCAACTCGAATTTCTCCGAGTTGATTATCTAGTATTCATCATCAGCAAGCATGGCTGCCCCTCAACCAGTTCCGAACAACTCCAGGCACGGCTCGGTAGAGTCTCCATATGGGCCCAATGGCTATAACATGTAATAAATCATTGAAATGCCCAGTACATATGCTCAAGTAACACCATTACATGCTCCTGATATCCGCTCAGAATCTGTGTTTTCCGCTCAGAGTCCGGGTTTTTCCGCGTCTAGTCCGGGTCCCTTTATTATCCGGGTCTCAAAAGTTATTTCTCCGGGTCAATACATGCTCATGAACAAAAATACATGCTCAAGCTATTTTCCAATTATTGCATATGATATCAAGTGATCAATTGGTCTATATACACAATGGGAAGGTCTTCTTCCACCGAGGCGGCACCATGAGGGATATCGCGTTCACCATTTTTGCTATTACATGTATTACATGCTTTTGCTCAATACATGTTTTTCCCCAAACAGTGTGGGCACACTAAGGGGTTCTTACGGTAGTAGAAAGGCAGCTGATGCTTAGATCGCTGAAGCGCGCGGGCGTGTGCGGCTAATTCGCTGCTGTTACAGTACATTCATGCCTCTCGACATCGTCAATGTGCACTTCAACTGCGCAGGCTCGCAAAATCTGCCTGCCGGCGGCGGGTGCTTTTAGCGACTGCGTTCTCGTTGTGGTGCCGTGCGCATTTTGGTACATGGTGGTTATTTATGAGGCTTACGCCTGACAGCCGGGCGCCGGCCTATGTGGGTATGTGTAGGGACTTCGGGCGTCCCGGCAGCATCCTTCAGACTGGGTCTTGGACGGGAAGTTGGAGGAGCAACCACACCTGATCATGAGCCGGGGCGCCAACCAGGCCCATGTCTACCAGGGCAACATCCTGGCGTGCAGCCCCCAGCACCCCCTGTTCAGTCGTGCCATTGCCGACTGCATGAGCGCGCAGATGCGCAAGCGGTATCTTCATTTCTGTGAATTCCTTTGGGGAGAAATGGCACGAGACCTTGGGCGGACGTCCACTGTGGGTTGGAACTTTTGCAAGAGCTTGGGGCCGATTTATTTGCTCGAGGAAAGACTGCACAAGCATGGAAAGCAAAAGCTGACACATGCGAGCACTTCGTTGGGAACTGATATCCCCATCGACGGCCACTTGATGCACATCGTGCACAACGACCGTCCCTACGCTGCCACCAGGGCGTGGGGTTGGAACAAGAAGTTTCTCGACGTGGCCATGGTGGCATTGGCAGTGAACAAAGACACCGCAGCTGAGCAGAGCATCGCTCAGCCCCTGCCGGAGCAGAGCGGCGCTGAGTCCAGCACGGCGACGGGGCGGGCAGATGCATCGAAGCTGCCGCGCCGGCGGAGGCGGAGGGAATGGCCGCGGAGGTGACGGCAGACTTGTTGCAGCAATGTCAGAAAATTGTGGCGGACAGCATCCACTACAGCGACCTGGTCGAAGCGGAGGTGGCCACGTTAGTGGGTCTCGGCTTAAGGCCTGCGATCGACAAGCCGAAGTTTTTGTCCTGTCTCCGTTGCAAGAACAGCAAACGCAAGGAGTACAAGTTCCAAGGAAGCAACGAAGTAAGGCAACACTTTCAAGGCCATGAAGAGCTGCCGTGCTCTCTGCCCTGGCCTCGCCCTCGAGGCATGTCGTTTGCAGATTTCGTGGCAGGCGCAGCACTTGGTCCACCTTGAAGTGCAGATTTCGTGGCAGGTGCAGCACTTTGTGAACCTCGAAGTGCAGATTTCGTGACAGGTACAGCACTTTGTGAACCTCGAAGTGCAGATTTCGTGGCAGGCGCAGCGCTTGGTGAACCTCGAAGTGCAGATGCGGAAGCATTGAAGGCAAAGGCTGCAGAGAGGGGAGCGGCCGCAAAGGCAAAAGAGAAGTCAAGACGATCGAAGTCCAGCTCCTCGTCATCTTCGACATCACCGGCTCGCTGACTTACGCTCACTGGTGGAAAAATAGGGGGCGTGTGAGCGAATGCATGCTTTTGACCCCAGGTGCTGCTCTACTGTTGCTCACTCTCCCACTCTCACTCTCCCACTTTCACTCACACTCGCACTCCCTTACACTCTCACTCTCACCCACACACTCTCACTCTCACTCACACTCGCACTCACACTCACTCTCCCACTCTCACTCACACTCACACTCGCTCACTCACACTCGCACTCCCTCATACACTCACTCGCTCTCCCGCTCCCACTCCCACTCACACTCCTCACACTCACACCCACTCACTCTCCCACACGCACACGCACACTCACTCACCCACACTCTCTCTCACTCTCACTGTCACTCACGCTCGCACTCACAGTCACTCACTCTCCCTCACTCACACCCACACTCACTCGCACCCACCTTCACTCACACTCACACTTACACCCACACTCACACTCACACTCACACCCACACTCACTCTCACACTCACTCTCACTCTCACTCTCACTCTCTCACTCACTCTCACTCTCACTCTCACTCTCACTCTCACTCTCACTCTCATTCTCACCCACACTCACTCTCACTCACACTCGCACTCACACCCACTCTCCCACTCTCACTCACACTCCCTCTCACCCACTCTCACTCACACCCACCTGCATTTCATCACCACCATCACCTCTCTGGACCCCAGTGCGTCTAGATCTCTACAAGTCCTGCTTACAGACCTCACACATGCTGTTTGGGGTCTCTTGCCGGGATAATTAAACTAATTCTACTCAAGATAAAAAATGTTACACCAAAATCAATAATGTACATGTTTAAAAACATGTGCAATTTCTGGTTGATACGGTTAAGCTGGAAGCTATAGGGCTTTCACGCTTCCCGCTTCCCGTGGATTTCGGTCCAAATCTTTTCGAGTTTTTCTTGAGCCCGGGGAAAACAGGACTGCAAAGCTACAGGGCTTTCACGATTCCCGTGGAGTTCTATCAGTGGTTCCAAAGACCATAGACCGACCAAGTACCTGAACTCTAAGAAACATACCTTATACAAACAGTTCATACCCTCGAAATATATCAAATGAGATTGTTGGGAGGGTCCATCAAGTAGACACCAGGAGCAAAGGACGCTACGAACGGGGTTCCTGGCCTTACTAGAACGTTCGCCTCTGGGCCAAGGCGTCTGGTGCATCGCCCAATCTTCCTGTCGCGCCAGAAGCACCTCAGGCAAGTGAAGAGCAAAATACAGGGAGACAAAGGGTGCCATGTGACTCTGAAAACATGTCATATCATATGTCTGTATGTCTGTCAACATGCCCTCGAGTTTCTCATGTGAAAGTCCTTGCAAGCCTTTTTGTCTCTCTGGATCTTGGTGGTTCTTCAGCGACAGAGTTCTGAAAGATCGGAATTGGTCCATTTTCTGGATGCATGAAGGGCGGTGTAATCAAAGAGAGATAGATTTGAGTTTGGCCGTATTGTCGTTCATGATTTTACAATATTTTACATCACCATGTCATATCATATCCATTTCTGTTGGGAACCAGCTCATGTGCGTGTGTGATCGTGTTCGTCGCAAAGCACGCCAACGGAAAATGACTGTGCCTGGAGTCAAAGTCCTTCGTAGCTCCGAAAATGAGTACAAGTACGTACCTGCTTTTATGGGGTAGTGTCCCATTTTCGAAGGTACTTGAAGTCGGGTTCAGGTACCCGAAGTAGCTCCCTGAGATGATACACTTAGGATACCATGTATGAAGTCTATCCCAGTACACCAGCAACCGGCAAAAGATCATCACTATTTTGGGAATGGTCGTTACTAACCATCATCCACTGTTATACTGGTTTCGTCATTCAGCCTTTAAACTAGGGATTTGCCTGGTGCCAGAAGAAACCAGCCTCTTCAGAGGCCATCCATCCGGGAGTTGCTACAAAAGTGGCTCCTCCTCTTCCACCAGCACAGGTGCGGGGGGGCGAATTGGCCGGTGTTGTTTCGTTCTATTTGTCCGTTGGGTTTGCTACTTGGGGCGATCGTTGCATCTCATCGGACGATCGTCTTTAGGACGACGTGGCAGAAAACAACACATGGCCTGCTTTGCTCCGGGATTGTCAGCCTTGCCTTGCCGGAAGTGGATGACGTGTTGTTTCAAAAATAGGTCGTGGAAGTTGAGAAGTCAACATGGTTGTGCCAGCCTGGGTATCAGGGTGCTGCCTGCTTGTCCCTTCGCGGTGGATCGGAGAACAGCCACAGAAGTGGTTGGAGTTCACCGCTCGCAGAAATATATTGGTCGCGAGAAAGGAATCTTTTCCTGTGTGGCGATCGGTGTTTGTGCAAGGGGCAGGCAGGTTATGTTGAAGATCTGTGGTGCAAATTAGGGAGATTGGTGCATGAAAGAAGCACCAAATCGAACAGCAGATGCAGCAGATGTTGGTTTGCTGCGCCCCCACATGCCCCCACTGTGGGAGGGAAGGAGTGGTAGAGCTCCAGCAGAAGCCCCCACTCCGTTTGGCTCGGGGTGAGACATATTGAAAGAAAGGTGTTACAAGAAGCACTTGTTGTGTTTTTTTTTCTGGGTCTCACATCCTCTACAAGAGTCAGGCTCTTCGGGATTGCCTTGAATCAATCCCACAAAATCTAAACCTGTGACAAGGCAATCTCTTTCACATCATTTTTCTGAGATTTGGACGCTGTCCCGAATTCGATTTGCAAGCGCCCTGTCACAGGTCGAGTCTTCTTCGGCTGAAGTGACTGGCGCACAGGTGCGCGACCTCGATGCTGGAGAGAGGTCGGGAGGTCAGGGCCTTTTCAGGGCGCACCCTGCGATGGCTCGATTCCACGACGTTGGTACCAATTTGCTACTAACGGAGCGATCGGACGCGACTCGAACGGGGCTGGCCTTCCTGCTACGCACGGAGCGCTCGCGCTCCTTTTCTCTACAAACGTCACAAAAGGCATCGGAACCCGAAATGAAGCGATCGGACGCCAGTCACGAACGTACTGTGTTCTTTTCGAACCATGACCTTTTCGGAACGCGACTGAGTCTGCCCCCCGACTGGCGTTCGGTCCAAACCGGCCAGCTACGAGGGTTGCGTCCGGGGACGCGCGGACGCGCGTCTAGGGCACTTGTATGGTGACACGAAATGAACATGTTGGTCGTTGAACTATTGATGTGTAAAACCATTGTTAACATCCGTGTTCAAACTCTCAAAAACTACTACATATAATACATTGATGCTTAGTTAGTTGTTTTCCAATTATTATATAAATATCATTTTTTTGTCATATCAACCTAGTATGTCAGTAATTGTGTTCAATCAACATATTGTTTAGATTAATCGAACAAAATAAAGATATTGCTGAATTACGTGTTTTCATGTTCCTAATTAAAGTTGTGTAACGTTTTTTTGTTTTTTATTTTAACAATTATATAAGCTACATATTCATGTGTATTTAGTGTCCAATTTGAATCCTCAAAGTCGTTTCTAGAAGCAACTATAATTTCTTTGATGGCACAGCAAATTTGATAGTATAGTAACTAACTAACTTATTGAAACAAAACTATTCATTTGTAGTTGAATTCCGATCAAAATCCCTTCTAAGGTCAGTTGCAATATCAATATCATTGTGCTTTTTCCTGTGATAAGCCTTTGAACATCAATGACTTGGTGTCAACTTGGAGCAGTATATGTGTTCAAAGGTATGGACGCTGTCCAGCGAATCGGTGTGTCTCATGAAACAGTGCAAGTCTGTCTTGGTGAGGATGCTGTCGCAATTGGATCGGTCGCAAAGGAAAACGTTTAGAAGTTTAGACTCTCAAAACCACTGGGTGGTAGAGGAAAAGGGTCTTCCACGTGGTGACGTTCATGGTATGTCAATTTATTGAATATCAACAATTCAATTAAGATATATAAGATTGAATCCTTCATGTTCTTGCTTGAGGTGAAGAGGACCAACGACCCAAATGGGCCCGCAGATGAGTGGGCCCCAACACGTTGTGCGGCCCAAAACGTGTTTCTTTCTATGTGACCAAAGCAATTCAGTCCATGTTGGTAAGGTTCATCAGTTTCTGGGAAGTGGTCGTGAATGTTAAAGGCAAGAGCAGACAGAGTCCAACAAACCGCAGAGTCACCAGAGCTTGTTGACCCAGAAGCTGACTTGTTGCGGATTTCAATCTCTTCCCTTTGGTCGCTCTTTTCCGGCTTATTTCGGCCTCGTTTCTTGCACTCGTGGCAGCGCATGGGCTACCGCGGACGAAGTAATCCTGAGTTTGTTTGCCTGGGCATTTGCTCACAAGGGGTGCGTTTTGCCAAACACGACCGAGGGGATCGGAATCAGATTGATCATATAATAACATGTAGTATTAATATACTACTATATAGTATACACATATTTTGTTTTTTCCAATCAATTCCCAGAGTGGATAGATAGGCCCGTCCCATTTTGTCGTTAATTTTCTTTCGCTTGTGGGCAGCTTTTGCGCAAGAGATGTCCGCAAAAGCTCAGAACAGAAGCCTACCCTTCGGTCCATAATGCATGGCCCATCTCCCAATACACATTAGGATTAAGGGGATTGTTGTTGTGAATCACTTTGCAATTTCTTGGTTGCCCATGAAACGCACCCCAAAAAAGGAGGTCGGGGCTGGTGGGCAGAAAGTGACCACTCTATGGGGGACTGCGTTTGGCCCTCGTGGACGACGCCTTCAGGGCCACCCACCTCCACAACCAGAGGTGCCTCCGGAGGTCGCGATGCGCACGGGTGCACTCCGACGAAGCCTGTGTCGGTGGATCAGGACAATGAATTGAGCCGGCTGAAGAGTTGTTTTTTTTTTGCCCGCTCCTCTCTCCTAACACTAAATGTATGCTCATGTATATTATACTGTATCTTGTTTTACTATGATTTGTATCCCGCCCTCCCTCCCTACTTAGTTAAGTAAGGGAGAGGTAGCTAGTAGGTACGGGACGCTCCTAGGTAGGACGCAGGATAGCTCATAGTTCACGCTTCTTCAAGGAAGTTCCCTTGAAGAAGCGCTCGCACTAATGATTTGGTTTCTATATTTTTAGGGAAGCTTAACATTAGAACTTGTATAATTACATTTCCAGCCACCCTCAGCCATTGCTAACCAATATTTTCATGGTACATCCACATGTATCCATAGTATGCACTCATATCAGTAAGTTATATTCTATATTCTAGAGAGAATAGACCAGTTGAGAGTCGAAGACTACTTGGCACTTGTATGACTTGGCGACCCAAACCACGAGTCCACCGGCACTCGGGCGGTTCGCCCCGGCACTTGGGTCCAGCATCCCACTCCACTTGCGGTGAGAATGGACAGTCCATTCACCATCCACTTCCGTGGCATCCCGGGGGTCATGGAAGAGAGAGAGAGAGAGAATTTGGGTGTTAAAGCATGCAAAAGCATGTTTAAGTTGGGTTTCTCAGCAAAGAAGCTCAGCAGAATAATGCATGCAATGCATGGATACACCTGGACCCTCCAAAGAACCCTAGAATATGGGACGTGACCCTGATAATTTCAATTAAACAAGAAACCATGTGGGTAACGTTATTGTACCCATTTTCCCATTTTCTGCGGTACTTTGCGACTCCAGGTACATGTTATTTGAGCAACCAGTTGTTATTTTCTAACCTTCCAGTTTCGAGTCTTTTTCATTTGCGGATGGAGCCAGTTGTGGAGGTCGTGGATGCTACCGAGGAGGTTTGTGGTGGAGGTTTTGGTGTCGGAGGCCCTGGACTCCTGAGCTGCTTGGGGGGAACTCAGCTGCTTGGGCTTTGTAACCATTTGATAAGCTGGAGTAAGACTGGCGTCTCAGTTATTATACAGCGAGCTGCGCAATGAAGATCTAGTGAATCTATTGGCACAACTGATTCTTGTGCATACACACTATAGATAGTTACCTTGGAACTAATTTTCTTTGGCCCGCCAGAGGCCCAAAGGTTATTTACAGGCCATGGGCGGCCATGGGCCTATCTGGAGTTTCAGTTCGTACCTACCTCAGAAAATGGTACAAGTACCGACTCACCAGGGGTCATGTCCCATTGGTCCTTTGTGGGTCAGTCGGGTCCAGGTAGGCGAACCAAGCAGAAATAGGTGGGTGGTAGTGCCACTGGTTGGGCACATATATAGTTTGATGTTTATTGCATGAGATCGATGTCAGATTCTGCGCGAATATTTTAACATCCACATCAAGGATAGACCTGGGTCTTCCAACACACGCAATGCAGCTGCCGGAGGGATCAGGAATCCGAGACAGGGGCCAAAAGGAGGCTTTTGCATGCTAGTTTCAAGCTACGAGGGGACGGTGAAATCCTATATATGTTTCTTCTTAGCGTCACCACGCTCCACGCTCCCACGTTCGCGGGACTCTCGCGGGCCGAAGCCACTCGCTTTTTGCCTGCCCTACAAGTCCAGTCTGACCCAGTAAAACCTGCAGGTCTTGTGCCGTGTCTTGAGTCATCCATGTGTGTTTGCATCACCAACTCCAGCTAAATGAGGTGTTTGACCTGTAGGGCTTGGATGAAGTGGAGTCTCCGCTTTTTCTTCACAAGTACCTGTTTCTTCAGGATTTCGAAGATGCGAACATGTGACGAATCAATCAGTCCCTCGTTGTTTTTTTTTTTCAGTCGCTCGAGTCCGGAGTCCAGCTGAGTCCAGTGCTGAGTCGTCCAGTGCTGAGGGACGGAACACCCACAGCGTTTGAGTTCCAGCCTTGACATCCTCGGATCCCCAACACGCCAGGATTCCGGTCCTGAGCCACTGAACCAATTTATTGTTTTAAGGATGTGGACGATCCAAACTAGGTCAATTCGATTGGTTGGGGAAGGCTACGGAAGGCTATTGATTTCCTTCGAACACTAAGGCCACCGTTTCGTGGTGTGCGCAGCGCTCGACGTCGATCAATCCGGGGGCGTTCAGGTCGCAGACGTTCCACCCACCGAGAAGGCGTGGCGTTTTCACGGAGAGACCCGGGTCCAAAGCGAATGGCGTTTTCTTCAGTGACGGAGCGAAACCTTGGGAGGAGTTCGTGCTGGTGACACTGGGGCACATTGGGGAACATGAAGGAAGTCAAGGTCTTAAGCTGTGCTGAAAAGGGTGTTCCATTTTGACGTGAATATCGTGTGTGGTCTAGCTTTGGAAAAACCAACCCAACTCGGTTAGATGTGTGCACCAGTATATTGCATGTACAGCAAATTTGCCAGTCATGTGTAGGCTGAAAGAACCGGAGACCCCTTCATGCGCCCCATCAAGGTTGGACCAACGACACCCACGGAATCCAGACAAAACACTGTATTGGGTAACCAGTGGTTCCACCCTAAGAATCCTTGCGCTCTCCATGGCAGGGGTCGGACCCTCCATAGCAGGGGTCCGGGCCCTCAAAACCCTATCTGTTTGAGGCCCCGGATTCTTAGGGCAAAGACAATAGACTATAGACCTACTGTAAAACTTCTGGTTCCTTATAGAGTGGTAACTGGGATCCACTGGCCACTGGGAAAGATGCGTTCACAGCCAATTTGTTCTTTGGCACTCTGGGGTGGTTGGTTGACTGATTGGTTGGTGGCGCTGAGAGAAGCAGGCTTGGAACCTTGCTTTGGCCTTCTTTTTCCATGTGGGGGCCAGTCACGTTTGAATGTGTTGTTTGTCAGTACGCCTGTTTGGCACACGCTTCGTTTCTGTTTCTTATAGCCACGTTCGGTATATATATATATTATACAAATCGAGAGTTGAGGAAAGAAGCGCGTGGTGTTTCTATTTTTAGCGATTTTAGCGTGGAGGACGGGCTTCCGTGGAAATGCAAGAGCCCAATTGAGGAAGCACACCAAGATCAATCCAAATGCCAACGCCCCAACGCCCAACGACATCCCAAAACTATACATTTGTTTTTTGGCCCATGCAAATGGGCGAAGTGCAACGGCAACCAAATCCGGAAACGAATCAATCCAGTTTTTTCTGACATCACCATCGACATTGCCAGAACCGAGACAGAGATTCCAGAAAATAGGGTGCCTGCAGCTATTGTTGTTGCTCTTCTGTTCTGGAACAGATACACCACTCCACTCCCCAGCCAGCTCGCCAAATGTGCAGGCCGATTATCCAGAAAATACCTAGATCTTCAGTCCGGCACTTTTACAGGGTCCGGCGCCGGACTTCCAACTCCGGCGTTTTTCTGGATTTGGTCCGGCACTTTTTCCAAGTCACTTTATGTGGATTCTCAAGGCTTTGCATTCTTTGTGGTCTGCATTTCTTTGAAGGTAAACCCACTACTGATGCAATGATTTTGTTTGCAATGTGTGCTCGTTTGCCTGTTCCGCTGTTTTCTCATTCCACCTGCTTCAGCATTGTTCACACTGGATCAATCAGATCTGTTTAGGTGATCTTCTACATGCAGTCGGATGAAGTCGGTACAGTGCGATGCACCTATTGAAAGATCCAAGTGGGCGTACCTAAGCTGAAAGAGCATAGGCAAAAATGTACTCCCACTGTTTCAGGATGTCGGGGCGCTGGGATATAGTTCTAGCTGCGCATGTTTGCAGAGCCTGCCGGACAAGTTTTGGGCTGTGGAACATGTGTTGTTCAGAATCTCAATGTTTTGCAGAGAGTTGTCAAAAACTGGCACGTCGCAACTCCGGCGTAATTCCATTCCGGCGTAATTTCCCGTAACTCCGACGTATTTTCTTGGACTGAGTCTTCTGCAGGCTTTGACTTTGAAAAGTTTTTCAAAGAAGAGTTTTGACAGGAACCATGAGTTTTGCTACTTTTTGGGGGGGCCGTCCTGAGGCAAGCTTTATAGAAACATTAAAAATTAAGAAACATAAGAATCATGGAGAGCAACCCACTTTGGAAAAAAACACTTTAGAGACACGGTTGCAGAGAAAGATGAGTTCATTGCCACATGCTTGGTTTCTTCTTGGAAGCCTTTGCTTGGGCACAAGTTGCTTATATTTTGTGATGGTTCTGCTCTTAGGCCATTCGGAAGATGGGCGAGGGCAATGGGAACGGGAAGGTTCGAGTGTGCTCCAGAAAAACGACTCGCGGCGCAAAGGCAATTTCCTTGTGTATGATCCAACCTTTTATCATCTCTGTTTTTCAGAATCTTGGATCCAGATGTTTTTTCAGGTCTCCGGCTTTTTTTTCGGAATCCGGCGGAAAATTTTGCCGGATTGAGGTCCGGCACTTTTTTCCGCCCGAAGGAGGATCCAGGTATTAATGTTGAATCGGACGATGACGGCTCCCAAGCCGGCTTGCCCATAGGTGGTGCGCAGCAGATACCTTTGATGGTTGAATGTGTTTGAAGATTTGTGATTGCAACAAATGCAGCCTGAGAAGTATATAGATGCTGTACGTACCTTTTACCTTTGCAGTGTTTCAGAAGAATGGAAGAAATGTCCAAGCAAGCTGAGAACATTCGTAAGGCGGAAAGCGCGATGGGTCTTTTGCCTCCGTTTGCGATGTTGGGGGGAGAGCTGCTGCAAGCAAAGTATATTGCAAGACTTGGAATATCGCTGCAAAAAATATCCAGAACAGTTCCAGCCATGGCCTTTCAATGCAGAAGGACTATTATGGACTCCGCGGGGACATACAAAATGCTGACCGCCAATGAGTCAAGGCGCATGGACGCTAGTCATCACTGATCTCAATGAGGGCATTGAGGGTATGCATCGCATCAAAGTGCCAAACAGCAGTTGGAACAGATTGCGATAGAAGCTGATGGAATGCAAGCATGCTTTCTCCAGAAGCATGGACCTGCTCGTTTCCAGAGTGTTTTTGGAGATGGGACACCGGGAGTGACACCGGGCCTTTCTCGGCGTGTACAGTTGTTAATCGAAGAGTTGCTTGCTTTAGTGGATTCGGCTTCATATAAATCTCCGAACTGTTCCGTTCGTGCAGATTTTTCAGCATGCATGCATGACAGCTTAAAGGCGATGGGTCACTCTAGCCGGCGCGCGAGCTTGCCTGAACCATGCTGGTTTCAGAGCAGATGTTGCCGACCTTGCAAGAAATTACAAGAAATGTAGTAGATGACTTCTTGACAGCCTCCAGGAATCCAACTGCAGCAGATGCATTGGCAGACTCGACAGTTTCAGATTCAGCAAAAGCATGCTTAAAGTCATTGCTCTTCGCCACAGCAAATGTGCCAGGAACATAATAAGGCTATACCAAGACAGACACAGGCACTTTGGTGTCAAGATGTCAACCATGTTGTTCTTCACATTAAAAAACAAGTTTTTTAAATGTTTTTGTTTGATAAGTGTTGTTCAGGTTGACCCAAGTCCAAGTGATGGTCCAGAACTTTAGAGAAACGCCTTCACTAACCATCATCATCCACTGTTACCGGTAATCTCGGAAGTCGGGTCCACTTGTGTTTGCTCTCATATGAGTCCCGAATGAAGCCAACACCAACCTCCAGGGCTACACCATTTGTGGCGGTCATGGTCAAGCAGAGGAGACTCTCCGCGGGTGACTGGCGCCGAAATCCGACGAACGACTCGTTCGAAAGTGACACATGACAGCAAGTCCGACCGGGGCTCCATCCGTGGGAGTCCTGGCCCAACATGTTTCAACAAACATAGTTTTACTAAGATGCTTTAGATTGCGAAGCCAGGCCAACCATGTTCTAAACGGAGTTGGGAACGACGATGGGCCGTATGTAAAGGTACAAACTGGTCAACCTCGATCCCATAAAAGTTGCCGGAGGTCGGGAGAAACTGGAGGGTGGATGCGCGTCCTTTATGAGTGTCAAGGACAACGGTAAGTCAGGACATCTATACCAGGTCTTACGGGTGTTGAGTGTGCTTGATGGACACCCCAACCTCTAAGGGGCTTTCAATAGACACCCCGAACATGGGGCTTTGGTTCCAGATGGTGCTGCAGATCCATCCACTTCTCCAGGCCTTGGAAAGTGCGGTTTTTGGACTTAAAGGTTTTACCTTTGATTCGGGGCGCCAAAGTGAACTGGGGCGCCAAGTATCAATGTATAGATGAAGTCTCTTTCTATAGTACGGCGCCAAGTATCAGAAGTCTATTTCTTATTTTTTCTTCGCTGCTGAAAAGCATCACTGTTGAAATGCGTAGTATCAATCCATAGATGAAGTCTATTAATCAGTTTCTCTTCACTGCTGAAAAGCATCACTGTTGAAAATGGTACCAATAGTATGGCGCCAAGTATCAATCCATAGATGAAGTCTATTTCTCAGTTTTTCTTCGCTGCTGAAAAAGCATCACTGTTGAAAAGCGTATCAATCCATAGATGAAGTCTATTTATCAGTTTTTCCTGCTGAAAAGCATCACGACTGGAAAAGCATCACTGTTGAAGAGCAAACCTTTAATGTTTGAAAGGCAGTCGTTGAATGAACAAAACAATAAACATGTCCGTCGTAACATTCTTTTCGAGCTTGGTGCACATCTCTTTGGCTTGACCAAGTGCAAGACATCATTGAACTTGACTTGTGATGATTACATATTTTTTGCAAATTGTTTGGTAATGTTGGCTGGTTTTTGCACAGTTGGACATGCAAACATTCGGCTTGTGATCAAGAGAACCTTGAGTGATTATTGTTTCTTGTTGGTCATCGCAAATCAAGGTTTCATTCACTCGGTGATTTGTGACCGGATTGATTTGTGATGGATCTGAGGCAGATCCATCACAAACACTACCTCTGTCCAGGGCAAGGTTTTACTGACCCAGTGATTTGTGATGGATCTGACTCAGATCCATCACAAATCACTATGTAGCTGCTAGCTCCGTCCAGGGCAAGGTTTCACTGACCCAGTGATTTGTGATGGATCTGACTCAGATCCATCACAAACTAGCTCCTCGAGTTTGTTGGTCGTCACAAATTCAAGTCAAATCCATCACAAATCAATGGGTCAGCGGAACCTTGAATTTGTGACGACCAACACTGAAATCCATCATAAATCAATGGTTTGCACAGGCCCTGGACGGAGCTAGTGTTTTGTGATGGGTCTGACTCAGATCCATCACAAACCACCGAGTGAATGAAACCTTGAGTAATGACCAGCTCTCATAATATCATGTTATGCAAATTGCAGCTTTTGACGATCAACCTGTCAATTCGTGCTTTTGGCGATCAACCTGTCAATTCGTGCTTCTGTGCCACCATGGGGAAACGACCTTCCGTCCTTAGTGAAAGAGGTTGAGGTGCCTGAGAAGTGCCTTAGTGACAAAGGTACCTTAGTGACAAGTGCCTCAGTGATGTCCTATAAGTTCTCCATAATACCAAATATATGAAGGTATGTTTTTCAGCTGTGATGTTTTTCAAACGCAAAGTATGTTTCCAAAACTTTAAGTCACTATAACAAAGGTATTATGTTTTTCAGCAGTGATTCTTTTCAGCAGTGACCACGCCCTGAGAAATAGACTTCATCTAGGTATGTTTTCCCATGACATGTTTGCCCAAAACTTTGAGGGCACATAGATGAATGAGACTAGTCGAAAAAATAAAGGTTTGCTTTTCAACAGTGATGTTTTTCCAGTGATGCTTTTCAACGGTGAAGAAAAACTGAGAAACAGACTTCATCTATGGATTGCGCCATACTATTGGTACCCTTTTCAACAGTGATGTTTTTCAGCAGTGAAGAAAAACTGAGAAATAAGCTTCATCTATGGATTGATATGCATTTCAACAGTGATGCTTTTCAGCAGCGAAGAAAAATTAAAAATAGACTTCTGATACTTGGCGCCATACTATAGAAATAGACTTCATCTATACATTGATACTTGGCGCCCCAGTTCACTTTGGCGCCCCGAATCAAAGGTAAAACTTTTACTTGAAGCTGGCGCCAGTTACACGATGTTGGGACCCCTACCCACCTTTGCATCCTCCCGTGACCGGCAATTTCACAGGGTCGTTTTCAATTAGTCCCATCCTGTGAGGGGATAATGGGCAAACTCCCCTTGGCACTGCTGGGAGATTCTGTGTGTGTTTTTCTTGTGGTCTCGTGAGGAGGACGAGATCGCCCGTTCCGCAGCCTCCATGGCCATCGCAGAATGTTTGCAAAGGGCTGAGGCGAGCAAGGCCTTGTTGTTTCTGGTTTCGTGATGAAGCATGAAGCAATCAATGATTTTCGTCGTGAGGGCCATATGATATTTGGTTGCATATGGAGTCCATTATTGAAACAGTTGTTTTCTTGTCCACCAGCTCCAGAGTGAGGAACATTGATCAGCTGGGGTAAGGCTGATATGGCCACCTGCCAACTTCTGAGGATGCCAATTATGTGCTGGATGTGGCATGTTACTGGTACAAAGAGACAGAACCGAACTGAGACTTCAGGTACAGTTGTGCCTACTTTTTTGGGAGGATCATGTCCCACTGCCTAGAGTACCAGCCAAGGAGGGTCCAGGTACTCAACTGGAGAACGAATGACTACCAGACCGGACCAGGGATTAGCATCCGTGTAGATCTCTAGAACTCCATGAGACTGGTATATAAATGGTTTCAATTGTATCCATATATTGTTACATTGACCTCTGAAACCACCCCAATGTTGGTATATATGCTGCCATACATGGAGTGTTTGGAGTGGTGTAGGCACTGATCATCAACTCCCGTTGTTATGTTTGTCAATGACCAGTGGTGTAACTCAACGCCACAACGCGGAGGTGGCAGCACAAGGCTATCACCGAGAGGTTCTCGTCCAGGCACGGGTGTAGTGTTTGACTAGTGTTTGACCACTAGAAATGGGGTCCGTAGAAAAGAACCTTCAATCGAAAGTTCGAAAAGCAAAACAGGGATGTCCTGCAAATCCTTTAGTTTGTCAGAGTTTTGTGTTCGATGGGCTTTCTGAAGGCTTGCTATGGTGCGGGGATCACGCCTGTCACGAGTAGCCCTTGGCATCACCCCCGCGACTCAAAATCCAAGCAGCGCCAGCTGCTCATGAAGTTTGGAGGCGCCAGGTGCTGGCGCCACACTGCGCCATGTGCCCGGCGGGGACTTCCATGTCTTTTGCGAGCTTTGATGCGGTTGATGGAAACACCGCAGTCAGGCTGGTGTTTTGTCAAAGTGATCCAAGGATCAGATCCCGTGAAAGGTGATGTGTTTGGATATTTAAGTTCACGAACATTGAAAGAAGCTGGTCTGAGGCTGTGAAAGAAGTTCTTAGGGTTGCAATGCTCGGTGGTTTCCCAGGAGGCCCAGGCCCTGGCAGCGCAACACGTGGAGTCCTGGACAGCCAGTGCCACTTGGGCGGAACAAGAACGAAAGCACGACCGACGGCAAGGGCGCAGTTTGTAGAACCGATGGCAAGGGCCGTGTTTCTAGAGCTCTATGGCACAGACTTTCTTTTCTCAACACCGTATACAATCATCGACAACGGATGTTCGAAGGGCTTCATGTATCGTCGCAGCTGTTGAATTTGCGAGTTTCTTCAGAATATATAAGCTTCGGTCGACCAGCCTTTTTCCAGGTCGCCCAATTGGAAGAACGAAGCGGTTTTGGATTTGACCCTGGGTCCCCTGCAAAAAGTATAAAGTATATAGATACCAATGTTCTGAGGCTTTGAGACTCCAGGTGGTTGTCAACATTGCTTAGAAATGGCTATTTGGACCTGCTCACCAGGCCATGTCGAGATTCACCTGTGGAAAAAGAGTATAAAACACACGTTCCTGGCGGATGTTTGATCCCGTGCCAGGCCGTAAAATGATGCTCCGGAGGAGATTCCCGATCTCATGAGTGATGATTCTTATGCAAACGTTATGACATATTTCTCTATACTAGGCATGGCTTCAACGATTAACACGTAAATAAATATACCCGCCCCATGCAGTTCAATGGAGTTTCACTCATCACCCACACCAATGTTCCTACTCCAGGTCTTGACCTAATGAGCCCAGGTCCTCCTCTTACAGCATGCCTTGGCAGAAGCAGGCGAGAGATGCACAGAGAATCCTTGCAGCATCATGGATGCGGCTTTAAACCGTCCAAGTCCATCTTTAGTTTTCAGAGGTGGGGTGCAGGACCCTCCATGTGCATTAGTTTCAGTTGGAGTTGATGTTGGAGTCGAATCAATGCTGCACACTGAGAAAGATGGAGCGCCGTCTCAGAGAGTTTATGACGGTGCTGTGAGGTTCGCACCCAAAAACACATGCGCGAGCGCACGCGTGCACACTCGGATGCACTCTTTCGTCAATGGACAAATTGGAAAGCTGCACCGACCGATCCTTAGTTGACTTTTGACTGATAGAACTCTCCCATTTGGATGCACGGACTTGCGGTTCGACGCGCGGAATGTCACCTAATGTGACTGGTACAGGTGGGTTTGGCATGTACACTGTGCCCACAATGGCAATTGCAAAAGGCTCCACGGTGTGGACACACTGAATTGGATCCCATCTTGAGATGACTGAGAAATAAGTAACTAAGTGAGATCCTACCCATGCAAGACTAAATGAACTGCTACCAGACGCCCACTATGGGAAGCTTACAAAGAGAAAGTCCGTGCACCTCAGCGTCGCGCAGCGACTGGGTCGTGTGCAGCGAAGGAAAAAGACGAGAAGGCAGGATCATCAACTCATGAGAACTCGCCACTGCGCTTTTTGCAATAACGAAATATGAAATATCCTTCATGACAAGTCATTGGCTCAGGCCGATGTCGATATGTAAGTGCCTTTTGGCCACATGGGACTTCAAAAGTCACCAAAGAGTCTTCAAACAAATTCGCCTTCAAGCACGACTTTCCGAGCGTAATTTTTGGTATAGCAAAGGCCCGAGTTGGGAACCCCCGCCTCCGTAGACCCTTTGAGAGTCGAGTGAGTCTACTTAAAGCCTAACGACTCGACAAAGCAAAAAGGAACTCCAAGAGAAGCTACCATTGGCTCCAAGAACTCCCGAACATAGAAGAATGTCTTGTCTTCCTCTCGGAAACATGTCTTGCTCATCTCTTGACAGACTTCTGGAAACTTGGCGGATGTCATCACTAAGTGGGTCGAACACATTCCAAGGTTGGTCTCTGCCATATATTCATCTCATGGCTGGGGCATATCGACGTGGACAGTCATAGTGTCATGGCTCAGTTCGCACTCCCCGAAAGGGAAGTGACGGACATGCCGGCGTGAAGGCCTGAGCCACAATGCCTTTCGATCGACCAGCTTGAGGGTACCCTCATCGACAGTATTGGTGGGAGCAGCATCGCTGATCTGGCACCTCAGCTGTGGAGGGAGGCCGAAACAACGAAGTTCTATGATGATGCATGCTCCCGGGCCGTGGTTGACCAAGTGTACCCGCGACTACGGGCACAATGCGCTTCGAAGGGACAACATCGGCAGGTGTTTCTTGGCTTCTTCCCGGCAAGCACATCGGCCTGCTGCCAGACTACCGGAGGTACTACGACAACAGTACCGAGTTCGAAGAGGCAGAAGCCGGCTTTGTCATATAGCACGCAAGGACAGGCTCACGTACGACGCACATGGGCAAAACGGGAACCCACGTGACGCCATGTCTGTGCCTGAAGCAGCACACAGGCTGACTGAAACCCCCATCACGCGGCGGAAAGGCCTGAACGTCCCTAGTGCGCTGCCAGGCGTGAGCATAGAACCCTGGACGCCAGTCAGGACGTTGCCTCCATCTCGGTTTGTGTTCCGCGGTATTTACGATGAAGGTTTTGCACGGGGCAGATGCCATTTGACAGTCAGCAGCGTGAGCGCACGGCCATCGACCCTCGAACTGGACTCGAATGTGCAAATTGCGACCGCGGGCCAAGGGATGGATTACAGTGGGGGGCAAGCCACTGCCGGTTGCGCAAGCAAGGTCGTCTCGTCCTTGGCGTACGGGGTCGTCGCCCGTGCTGCGGGATACTCAGTAGCAATCAACAAATTCATCGCCTCCCATTCGGATCGTGAAGCCTCTGCAGGCCAGGCGGGCTTATTCATTCATCAAGAGTCTACCTGGACCCTCCAGGATCTCCCTTCGAACATGGGACATGACCCCATACAAACAGGTACGACTGCACCATCATACTGTACCCATTTTCCAAGGTGCTTTGCGGGTCGACTCCAGGTACATTCCCGATCGTTTGTGCTGATAGAATGGTTTTTTGCTGCCAACACCCCCCACGTCTGAAGCATCTCCACGAATACCAGTCTCAGAGACTGCACCTTGGCTTCACCGTGTTGGAGACGCCTGGGTTTTTGCTTCACCGTTACTGGAACATAACCATGAACCACCTGGAGACTCAAAGTACGTTTCTATACGAGTAGGAGGGACCAGGCAGATAGAACCAGTTACTGTAGAATGATGTTAGCATGATGATATCATAACATGTTTTTCCGGTCCTGTTCAATGGGTGTCGCCGTCGGGTGAAATTTGTGGCTGCCAGGTTTGGAGAGTGATCTCAGGCGCAAGGGTGCAAGGATGCTTCGCTTCGCTCTGGAGGAAGTGGGACAATGTGAGTCGCTTTGAAATGCCACACAAGATACGTGACAGCTGACTACAGGCTTGTTCTATGATCGAGTTTGTGTAGTACTGGTTCTTTCTGTCTGAACCTTTCGGCTGGTCTGTACTGTGGTGCAGTTCCTTCAGGCGGAATCCAATTGGGTGGGTCAAAACTGCTACACCCTGGTTGACCACCGGGAAAGAAGAGAATAGACTAGCTGGGAGGTCAAGCCGCTAGCGATGACGTCCAACCTAGCAGCGACCCTCCAAGCTAATAGCGATGGCCTACCGACTGGGAGGTCAACCTAGCCTGGTGAAAGGGGCCCGCATGTACAGACCTTTTTGTTGGACAAATCAATGACAGCATGACCTGAATTCACGGGCCCCCAAACCCCTTTTCTTCGCTGAAGCCGCACACCACACGAGACTTGTCAATAAGGTGACGCACACCCGAGACTTGTCAATAAGCATAGGTGACGCACGACGCACGCACACATAAAAAGAAAGGAATATAGTAAGAGATCCAAAGATCCCCAGAACTCCCGTTGAGATGACCCTTTTTCATCATCGACGCCCGGCGTTGAAGACCCGGAACGAGTCGAAAGAACACATTTTTCAGAAAAGGAACGACTCTCGCATTGACATGCATGCGTTATGGATCGTTATACGATTTACTTCTGCAGGAGAATCTACCTGGAGTCTCAAAGTACCGCAGAAAACGGGTACTTACAAGTACCTGTTGAAAGAGGGCATGTCTTATCTTCTGGGCGGGTATATAACTACTTTGGAGGGTCCATGTACAGGATATGTATGTTACTTTAGCGATTTGAATAGAGATGGACTTTCCTAACATGTGTTTCCTGTAGAATGAACCCATTGGGATTTCATCGATGTAAAGCATGAGGCAAACCACCGAGCGAACAAGACTAAAGAAGATGGTGCAGCCGGTCCGGGGCGAAGGAGATCATAGAACTGAGGAAGGCAGGTCCAGGTCCAATAAACACTACCCCAGGTCCGGGTCCAGGTACCTTCGTTTTGGATGGTCGATCGGAGGTGTTGGTCCGTGAGTACGAAACCAGAGAATGGACGAACTGGAGCGAAGAAACAGACAATTGATTCGGATGGTCGTGGACCCTTAGGATATGACATTCTTATCAGGCTATTGGTGGGCTAGATGGAAAACGCATGGTGTTGTTTGCAACTGACAGTAACGAAATGCAACGTAACGATCGTTCTTTGGTTTCTGATGTCGTTTCTTTTTCTGTCAATCTTTCAGTCAGATTGTCAAGGTTCGCTCTGACAGAGAACTAGTGTGCATACCTGGACCCTCCAGGTCGTATACCTTCGAAAATGTGACATGACCCGAATTAAAAGACAGGTACAATCTTGGGGCCCCATGTTCCCCCGGTACTTGGCGGGTCGACTCCAGGTGTTAACTTGAAATCTTCAACCCTCCAGGGTCAAGCCTCAGGCTGCCGGTGGGCAAGACCATCCACGAAGAGGAGGCGGAGCCTGGAAGTGAAGAAAGGGCCTGGAAGTGAGGTCTCAAAGAAATACACTCCCTGGAACATAACATGGTTACGTGGATGCCATGGCCCCGAGTCTGGAAGACCATGAAATCCACTAGTTAACAGGTGGTGCTTTTCCACGTAACCATGTGAGTGGCCTCGGGTATGTTCCCCTCCGTTCATCGCCCAACTGGGTGCTCGTGGGACTGGTCAGGTGAACATTGTGAGGACTTCAACTTGATGTGTCCTGCACAGCCAAGGTACCTGCCCAAGCTTGAAAATCACCCCAAGGCCAAGGCCTTGAGAGTGAAAGCAATGAAAAGAACCCATAGATTTATATATTGTCTACTGTCTACCGATTCGAACATCTTCGAACATTGGACATGACCCCATAAAATCAGGTACGACTGTACTCGTTTTCCGAGGTATGAACTGAGACCCGGGTATAGTTGTAATATAAGGTATATAACTCAATGATCGCTTGCTTGAGAATTGCATCCAGAATTGCACCCTGTGCTCTTCGGGCCGGGCTGCAGAACCAAGCTGCATCCGGCTGCAGAAGGGTCTCAGGTTGTGGAATTCTATACCCAATCCAGGGCCCAAACAAACACAAAAGGTGATCTGGACTCCTCGCTATGGAGGCCTCGAGCAGTCGATGGACCGGGGGGCAGTCGATGGACCGGAAAGCCTGCTCATGCCGAGGAGCCGAGCTCTTGAGAATGTCATGCTCAGTCGATGGACCCTCCAAAGTTCCGTAGAACATGGAATAGACATGAATAGACATACCAAGAGTCACAAAAGGGTGCTTTTTAGTCCCTAAGTGAGTGGATAATGGGCACCCCTATCCTCCATTGACTCCTGGTACTCAGACCTTATAAAACAACTATATAAGTATACTTGGTACGCATGTTCCGAGGTACGAACTGAGACTCCAGGTACGTGGACCTCAACAACCCTGATCAAGTCGACAGGTCACACTGTCTCGGCGGTGGTGGAGTTGAACCCGGGACCCGACACCTGGGACCGACCCGAAACCTCTGGAGGTATCGGTGAATTTGGAGTCGAAACCATGCCTACGTGTTCGTTTCGCGTTGGGGAAAGACTTTGCTGAAACATTTGCGAAGCTGGGGACGCAGTCAGGTATCACGGTACCAGGGGCTCCTTGATTAGATTAGATGGCATGCATTTTGTCATCAAGCCTTGAACATCACCTCATCAAGAGGGGTCAACCTACGTTCTCAGAAGGTGGTTGGATCACGTTGGGTTCCTAGGGATTCTATCTAAGAACCTGTGCTTGTTGTTTTTGGAAAAAAGAACAACAACTCTAAAATGATCTAGACCCTCCAAAGACCAGACCCTAGAATCCCTAGAAAATGGGATATGATATGACCCTATAAAGACACAGCTACGACTGCATATATTTTCCCAGGTACTTGACCAGAGGTCGACTCCAGGTAAATACATGTCGCCACTCTACCTTTGGGCTCGAAATCTACGGGTATGTACAGCCCAAACTGGGCTGCTCTTGAGTCGCACCGCGCGAAATCCGGACCGAACGACCCGAGCGTTTGAGCTCATGTCGAATATGTCGACACGGACGGTGTCCAGCTCCTCCGATGAGATGACGGAGTGGGTCATGCCACTTGGAGCGGCGTGTCAGGGGCATTTGGTGTGAATGGGTCATACCGTTATGTTGAGCTGAATTAAGCACTATGAAGCCTGGCATTGGAGCTTAGCTTCCTAAACCTCATCATACCCCTATATACGTTCAAGACCAATACAAATATGATTGACCTGGTTTTGTGGTGTAAAATTAAAATCCATGAGTAAACAAACTAGTGCTTCGGCATGTGTCCGCCTATTCAATCAGTGGTGGGAAGCCCTCCGGGAGAGTCAGTGAGTGTGAAAAAGGTCCGTCATGGAGACCTCGGAGTCCCGGTGTTTCAGGCCTTGAGGTTTGACCTGGGTGGGTCTTAGCCTGTTGTAGCCTTCGTCAAACAAGCCATTGAAACTTGTTGGGGTCTCTAGTAATATGACCCTTTCAGAGTCAATGTCGATAATCTTAAAGCCAGAAGCTGTGGATCGGGATTCGTTCCTTTTTAAAAGGGTCTTCCCGACCGCCGACCTCCTCCTCCTTCTCCTTTTCCTCCTGCCGCTCCAATCACACCAACTTACTCACACCCACTCACTCACATTTTGGGCCTGTTGTCCTATCAAGTGTAGTTGTTTGAACCGGTCAGGCTGAAGAAATCAAAAACATGTTTGCAGCAACTGTATTGACCCTATGCCGGACCACTGTAGACCTAAAACAGGTTATGGGCCAGTTATGGGTCAATACCCAAGACCAAGCGAGCCATGAACCAAACTCAGGCGCTGTGTTGCCAGCATTGTGAGCGATGATGACGAGTTTAATGCTGGACAGGCTAAAGGCAACAGTAGCGACAACACACCGCAGCTTGGTCAACGAGTTGGAGGAATCGAGGAATCCTTTGATGCTTTTGATGCGCTCAGATCGGTGGCTCCTGTTTCCCAGCAAAAGCTAGGCTCACAGCTTTTAGACAAACAAATCAGGGGTCATGCCACCTGCTGGAATATCAGTTTGATGAAATAGTATTTAAGCCAGATAGTGGGTAGTTATGGTAGTACCCTTATAATGCAGAATAACTTAGGAATGATGTTGCAAGATGCTCACACATGAGACAGATACAAAACACAAGAGATTCCAAACGTGACATTCAGGTTCTGAAGCCTTCTGAAACTGATCGGTGGGGGTGGAAAAAGCAGAGCTGCGCATCTCTGGAATATGGATTGAAAGCATACTGGAATAATATTCAACATCTATGTGGAAGGTGGTCAGAATAACTACTGTAATTAACTTTTCCAGTGGGGCTGTGAGAGGGGGTCCCCTTATGTCACTGGCCATGCAAAAACTGATGATTTGCGTATGTATCCGTACAGTTTAGTACAAGCAGCTCCCGGGCAAGCCGGCGGCGGAAGTTTCCTACAAGAACAATTAGACCTATAGCTTTGCGTCCGGCGTGTCCCTTCACACATGCCCTGCGGACTCCGGACCCTTTTTTTTCCGGCCCACAACGATGGCGTCATGCAAGCAGCACACAACGGCGTGCTCGCTCTGGCACTGTGCATGCAGTGGCACTGGCACGAATTCCTCTCGCTTCTTCTTTTGCTTTTCATCGGTGGTTCACAGCAACGCACCGAAGTCCAAGACCACAGCCGATGCATCGCCGACTCACCACCTCCTTTTTGTCCACACAGTGCAAAGAGTCCTGCGCGGTAGCAGCTGCTTATGCGGCTCACAACGACGGACATAGGAGCATTTCCCGGCTGTTCCGCAACCGTCGTTCCGCACAGCTTGACTTGCCAGGTTCGGAGCCACCCTTTGTATTGAAATACACAACATTTCGTGCGTCCGCTATCTCTCAAAGCGCATCTTGTACGAGACTTCCTTCCAAACTGCATGTTGAACACCTGCAAAGCGAAGCAATTCTGCGAGACGTCCTCCAAAAATGTAACTGGAGGACATGATCCAACCGGACATGAAAGTGCCATGTACATTGCGGGAACGATCCTGAAGTTGCCAAACACAATGAAATTATTTTCCAGCGACAACTCATCCACCAGCAACAGTTGCAGTCACATTTACAGTGCGGAAACCATCCAGGAGTTGCAAACCG